TTTTGCTCACCACTCAATTCTCTGGAGCTTATTTGAAACAACACAACACTGCGAAAAAGGCAGTGAAAATACTAGAAATTTTGAATACTAGTTATCACAATGCAGCCACTGTCAGCTCAACTGGGTTTACAAAGAGGAATCGCAAACTGGATCAAACCTGTTAAAGGTTGGAGGCTGACAGCTAACATAGAGATATTAAAGAATGAGTGGTAGTGCGAGCTCACCTCGGTGGTGTAGTGATAGCACGCGTCCCCGTTATGAATGAAACGTGCGTCCGACTCCCGTCTAAGGTCATATTTTTGCCCACCACTCAATTCTCTTATATGAACCAACATGACACTGCTTGTGCTATAGTTTGAGTACAAGCACGCTGAAGAAAGTTTTGTCCAGCGAGACATAAGAGAAATAGAGAAGTGGTTTTATGGAAGATGTTTTTACTCTGAATGTTGCTGTGTTATGAAAGGGTGTTTTGAAAAACCGGTGGCATGAGGATGTAACCACAAGTATCACCTGTATCACCTGTCGTCCCGTTGATCGTCGAGTGACACGAGCGGGTACCAGCAACTCTTCCATTTTTCCCTATCACGTGCAAGAGTAGCCCAGTGGGTCCTCCTCGCTCTAGGGATTCGCTGAGCATCATATATCTCTCTTCCATCGCTTTCATACCACAAATATCAGCTTTCAAATGGTTATTAAGACTTCTATGAAAAATTTTTCTCCAGTGAATGATATCGATTTTTCATTTTTTCCTCTTAATCAGGAAGAACGACATAAACTAATCAAACGATATCAGGACTCATGGAAAGTCAATTTTATGAACAAATGAGTTCATCATGTAGTACGTCATTTATTCTTGCATGAAATCAAATCCTCTTGTTATAGAGCAAAACTCTCGCATCGCTCAAAAGAAGCGTAAAACAGTTTTGATAACAACATTACCATTTCATCAGTTTATGCAATATCTATCTGCCAAATATTTTTGTTTTCCAATCCAATTGAGATGTTTCATAGACACATCTTATAGTAAATTAACATTAGAACAAAAATTTGTATAAAAAATCCAGCATAACGTTTGCTCCTGGGTTCTATAAAATGATTAAAAGGGCAACAATCAAAACTGCCATTTGATTCAAGTTATCCTAGAATTACTCTTGGCCTTCGCAGATTGCCACCTCTATTCTCGTGCCATTCATTCTGTTTCACAACGATCCTTACGATGATGCGGTGCTCACCTGTCTGAGCACATCTGCGGCTAGTGACGTGAAGATCAACCGCCTCTTCTACTCATTTATCGCCATGGCACTGCTTGCCATCACCGCCAACGTCTGGCTATTCGTCATCAATCGGCATAAGCAAAAGGCGTGAGTTTTCTCAAGCACTCCTTCGATTGCTTAAATCTCGACGATTTCAATAATGAGCTTGGTTTTTGGAACCGACTTCTTAGATGTAGCACACAGACGAATGTGAAGTTTCGCACAGCGTAACACTGATACCAAACCACAGTGCTTTGCCAGTGTGTGGAAAGGGATTTCGCAACATGGCTGCTAAGCCACCGTGTTTGCTCCGGTGCCAAATTTGCGAAATTCAATCTTCTTTGGATTCTAACAGCGCATAAAACGTTCTTTCTAAAAACCAAATACGTCGTTGACTTTGCGAGATCCAAGCTATCACATAGTTACTCAAAATGTGAAGGAAAAGCCTTGGTTAGCAGGAAATACTTGGATGAGAGACATACTCTATTTTTGCTGTTACAGCGCACGACAGAAGCCTTTTGAAGATAAAATAGATCATTCCAATTCTTTCGATTCAAGCCATAGATTGGCCACTCAGACTTCAGAAAACCAAAAAAACTGTTTTAAGAGGTCAAAACAGGGTGCGGATAATGCAACAATGCCTACAATTATACGTGTAGGAATCGGAGTCACTAGTTCAAGTTCACTCCCAAATCGTAGGAGGTACATGATTTTTGTACGTTGCTCGCCCTTTCATTCTCTCAAAAGAAATCGTGGCCACGAGTAGCTCTTCAGGCTTTGCAGCCTGTCGGCCCACTCTTGATCTGCCTCAGTAAGGCGGCGTCAAATTTCCTCAGCTTAGTGATCCTCAAAAGATATATAGATTGGAAATCGACAACCAGGACCACCCTCAGCCATGGTGTTTTGGTAAACTGTTATACTCACATTAGTTTCAAAATCCAAGGCTTTGAGAACCACTGAGAGATAGGTCCTTTTAGGAAGTCTCAGATTGTTCGCTCAATCTTTCTGTTGTACATTGTCCGCAGGTTCTTTTTGAACCATACTCATTGGGATTGACAGAGAGTAGTCAGTTAAACAAGTTAGTGTCTCTCCATTTGGCCCTTTTTATATATGTTGCTCAAACACCAATAATCTGATAAAGATGTAGCATGTTTTGAGCCATTAAGGTCTAAGTGCTGTGCAGGCGCCTATATTATCGTGCCGGAACTCATCAGTAGCAGCGCCCTCGATTCAGCCGGTCCATTGAGGCTACACTCCTCTACAGAGCAATCGACGCCGAGCAATAAATCACAATACTGTTTAGGCAACTCATAAAAAAAGCGGTCGAAAGGAAAGGAATTATTAATTTTATAAGCCACGAACCCGACTGCCGATATCAGGTTGTTTCAATATCTGAGTTGCAGTGATTTATTGCTCGGCGTCGATTCTTTTATAGAAGAGTACAGCTCTAAGGAATCGGCTGAACCGATAACGGTGCTACTGATGAGTCTCGGTAGGATGAAAACAGACACCTGTATAGCACTTAGGCCTTAATGGCTCAAAACATGTTATATCCTCAACAAGTTAGGTCTCAGAAGAGACTCTCAAGTCTATATGAAAGCAAAGTCCTCTAAAATAATTTGATGATTCAATGAAGGTTACAAAAATCATTTTGTTCCAATAACTACTTTTCCACTCTAAAGTACTCCTTTCCTGATCTTGCGCTCAAAACGTGACGCTGCAATAACAGATGGAAAGTCAGCCAGTTCCACAACGCATTATTTTATTTCGCAAATAATCATTATCACACGAGTGATAGAGGCCAGTCAAAGATCGGATCTGTACAGTGGGCTAAAGTTTGGAGACGATAGTGTTTAAAATGTGATATTGAAAGTGGTCCACAACCGTTGTGCGCTTTGAAAACAACACACTGAAAATATCCGCTAGTGATCAAGTCTAATCGAACGTCAAGCATACAACATGGCTAGCAACCACACTGTGACAGATCTTCCTAATGATGAAGGAGATTCTCTAAAAGTAATGTCATGCCATTCGCTAGAGAAATGGCAAATATGTAGTACTAAAAGGTCAACTGGAAGCCAAGCTGGCGTTTGCTGGAGTCACTCCTTTTAATTATAGGCGTTGTAGGTGACAGTCATACTATGTTATGATTCCAGGTTTCTATCTTTCATTTTTTACATTATTTAATTATCTATTGAAGATTTTCCTAAAAAGTCAATCCTAGTTTGTTTTAATGAATTCGGGTTTTCAAAGCTTCGCTTTCAGCTTTCGCTTCAACGTGACTCATCGATTTGAGGCGTATGAGAATGTACTACTCACCAAATGGATAGGCTTGGTGGCATCAGTACAGTTTTTCTTCATGACCACCTATTCATTAGCGATATTTCTCATAAGGACAAGGTGTCGCAATTCACCCAACGTCACTAAGCAAGTGATAGCAAATTGGTTCTATGTAAGTCATTTATCCAATCTATGACATTACTACTATCTTTTAGTCCATCCTTTTCAATTTCCTTGATCTTTTATTGAATTTTATTTAATTCATCTTGCAGTACTAATTGGGCAATAAAAGATCTCAAATGGATTCCTGAGATTCTAGGATTCGTTTCAGTTAGTGCCGTTAGCGACTCTTTCATTGCCATTGATTTCGCTACTTGTAATACATCACAGCGCAAGAAAACGTATGGTATCCATTCGTCGGATGACAAGTCAAAGGAGTGACCATATGGTACACCTCGTAAAAATGTGGAGTTGACGGACTTTTTTTTTAGCCGCCTTAAAGTTCAAGAGGACCATTTCTAGTACTCATCACCATCATCGTTATATAACATATAGTTTTGCAAGAGCCCTCGTTATCCCTTTTTTACGGTTAAGACATAACAACAGAAAATATGCTGGAAAATGAAGAAATCAGAACGCCATTGCAGTTGGTGAGATCTCAAAAAAGTATACTAACATGTAGATATGTTGCAAGATGCAGTCATTGTCTTTCAATGTTAAACGAACCTCAGACTAGAGAAAAACGGCACCAATCCTACTAAATAGGAAAATCGTAATTATGACAAAAATTATTCCAACTTATGGTGCTTTCGTTGAAACCTCAAGTGCATTTAGATGGATTTGAAGCACTGTATATGATGTATCTGAAATCTTTTCTCAGAAAGATGATCAATAAAATATTTGCGTCTGTTAGAATGAACAGTGTAAGTAGTTGAATTAATGTGGCACTTCATAAGTGCTGATTCAATTTTAATGTTTCGAAGAACGAATAAGAAAAAGTATGCTTCGAGGTCTTTGTGCAAAGGTAGGAAATGCCCTGCAGTATACTCCGAGATGTTGGCTTCGTGCCGCGTCCTTAGTAAACGCACTCAAGCTCTAGAGCGATAAAAACAATAACAAGGTACCTCGGCGACCCAGCGCAGGCCATTGTATAGACCAGACATGCATTTAGCTGCCTTTACGACTCTTGATAACGCGAGTGCATGAAGCGAATCTTCAGAGATTCATCAAAGCCGAGCGCTTTAATCTTTTTCGCTTTGCTATGTGAATTTTGTGCTCAAACGCATTATTGGTGATTGGAGTTACATCGAAAACGGATTTCTCTTCCCTCCGCTTCCTTTACAAAGATCCCCTTATAGTTCAGTAGCCTCATCTTTAATCTATTATCAACTAGAGTTCTTCTTTAGAAGCGGTGTTGATATGTTACAAATATGTATCTAATAATGTTGAGAGATAAGCAAAACATTGAGCGTTGGACGGGATTCGAACCCGTATCTCAACCCTTTCCAGGGACGCGTGTTAGCCACTGCGTTACCGGCGTTCGTCCTGTCATCACTCTTTTTTCATCACAATTCTATTGTCAGCAACCAACCGTCAACGATATGTGCTGGGAAGCCGATATCGCTTTTTTAACTTTGGTGCTGATATCTCAACTCACGTATTTATCGTCTACCAGCGCTAATATATTGAAGTTATGATTTTCATAGCATAGCCATCTGTCACCCTCGCTATGTTGTTAACGGTAAACGGCTTATACAAAGATTTTATTACCCACGTTTGAGGAGGTCTGCTTTGGGAACTACAAAAAGACTTGGACAAAACTGCCAGTTATTCTCATAGCCTGTGCGATAAATGAGTAAAATTCAGGTTAGGCTCTATTGTTGTTTGTTCCACGTACAATAGCAACTTCAATCCCAGTATTGACAGAACACTATCAGTTACGCTCTCTAACATTGCTCTGAAGCAAAAATTTATGTGAAGTAACTATGGACGTTGCAAATCACAAAGCCGTGTTCCCAATTACTAAAAACCAACCTCTCTCAAGTTTGCTCGTTTTCACTTCCAATTTAGCATATAAATGCACAATTCCTTCTCTGCCTGAACTCAGTTGTTTATGTTCATCGAGAGCACCTCAATGTACCCAGTAGTTGTTAAGCAATCGAACTTTCGTGGTTTTCCTCATAAAGGATAACTATATAAAGGAAAACTATAAAAAGGTTTGAACAAACGGAAAACCTTTATCTCAACACATATTCAGTCTTTTTTTTATCAACACACTGCAATGGATAAGCACATAACACCAACACAAAATCTGAAATAGTCAGGTCTCTTCATGAAACCGATTCAACCTGCTAATTTTCAATGCAGTACTGATCTATGGGTCCAGTCAAGTGGATAGCGCACAGCATTCCCAGTGAGCACGAGATTGCAAGCGTAGTCACCAACATTGATAAAGACCGAACCGGCTTTTTCAGTTGTTTCAAAGATGAGCCATAAACTATTGGTGGCTTGAGAGGTGGAATTTTGACTGGCTCACTCGGTCGAGTGTATAGATGACCCCAAGTGAGAATGGGAATTCTTCTGTAGGGAAGGCCAGATAAATGTGTTTCTGTGTTCGGCGTACCATGACTGTCCATCTAATCTGCAAAGGTGCCTTAGTTAATAATAGTAGTAGTCTCTGCTCAAGAATTTGAAATTTTGATTGGACGAAATTTAATCGTTTAACTCTCACTTGTTAAGCAATTTGTGACTTTTTATTATTATTATCTATTTCTAAGATCCAACAAAAAATCCACCTTTTGGATGGATTACTATAACAGATTTTTCCCTTAAATTATTTAGGTTCTTCACATAAATTTACAAAACAATGGCTTTCCTTGTTCTTAGAAAAAGGACTCCGCATTCTCAACTATTCAAATTACTCAATTACTGGAGTCATTTAACGCCACTTCTTTGCAATACTGAATAGATCAATCAGAGAGCTGACTGGCAAGTCAATCCATCAGCTATGTCATGGATCTCACAGAAAATTGAACAAAAACCAAAGTCAAAACTATCGCTTAAATTACGAGATGCGCTGAATTTTCAATAAGGATTAGATAAATATAGTACTCTCTTGTCGATGCACGTTTCTTCATGAAATAACCATCAGGAAGCGTTATCAGTAGCGAGATAGAGTCGAAATGATGAAATTCGACAAGATGATGTGACTTAAAATGATGAAATTCGAAAAGATGACGTGACGTGAAATGGTAAAATTCGACAAGATGACGTGAGCATGCCCTAAAAATGAATCGACCACCTCCTGACTATTCGTCTGACAGCTTAGTTTCGGTAGGTGAATGAAAGGCATTGACGGCTTCGTTACTCTTTCTTACAAGCCATGACTGGCAAAATATTGGTCAACATATCTATTAAATTAGACTACTCTCGACTGCTCGAATAGATCTCACTTAGCAGCAATGATAATCTGACAATCTGACAATCTGACTAAATGTTCTGAGCCTTTTTTTGTGGTCTGATATGGCAGTTATACACTTCTAGACAGCTGTTTCACCCTTCCAGGCTCATCAGTGGTACAGTGCATTTCGGTTCAACCGATCCCTTGCAGGACGATATACCCTTACTTATAAAGGAATCGACGCCGGTTTATTTCAATCACATAATGTTAAGTAACAAAATTCCGCAACATTGCATTGACTAGTACTAATCGAATATTGCACAAGTGCCATATCAGACCTCAAAAAAGGCTCAAACATGTTATCAGATTATAAGACTAATACTGTTTTTAAGCGAGTTCTATATAAAAAGTCGAGAGTAAAGGTACGATTGATTCTACCAAACACAAGCGCTCGATAGTGGTTACTGCAATGTCGATGGATTTCATCACTCGACATGCGGTGTTTCAAATATCTCGATGTCGATTCCTTAAGGATATACCCCCCTGCAGGGGATTGGCTAAATCAAAAGTCACCGCATTACTGATGAGCCGAAGAGGCGAAACAGTTGTTTGGTATTGTATAAGTTCTACACCAGACCTCAAAAAAGTCTCAAAACATGTTATCAGGTATCAGATTATTAGATTCATGACTAGGATATCAAGAAAGTCAGTTACCTCCTTCTCAAGCTTACGCGTCTTATCTTAAACACCTCGACATCAACATGAAACACATACGACTTACACTGTGACAACCTCGTGCGAGCAATCACATCTGATTATCTCGTAACTGCTACTTTAAATGTTCAGCACTTTCTTTCACAGTGTTTTAGCTAACAAGAAGCATGGAAATCGAAAAGAAAATCTGGTGCAATCTGGCGCCAGTTGTAATTACAAATTAGGATCAGTTTTCAGTTTAGATGTTCTCATCGCCCATGAACACTTTCTGTATATCTCAGTTTTTCACTCAGAAGCAAGGAATTAGAGTTTTGGCGGTTCAGGGTGGGGCGTGGGGCCACTGATCAAGCAGGCGGCAGCGCCGAAATGTGCGTATGGCTCTGACGCATCAACCTTGGTAAGGCTCTAAATATTCAGAATTCTTTCTACTTGACCGCCACTTGCGGTAGTATGATGGTACAGTATACCCAATAATGTGGAGTGCTGTGCAAAAACATTTGCGTCAGCCGGGATTCAAAGTGTGATCTGGATATTTTTGCTCTAAACATTCTCGCAAACTATATGCTTTCAGCATTTGACGTCTCATTGTGAACTATTTGCCGAATTTATTACCGATATGGCTGAAGAGGGATTATTTCATACATATCGCAAATTGCACTTTTATGGCTACTATTAAGTCATTGGTGCCTAGCTAATTCATATATGACACAGGCACTTCCGGAATGGTCAATGAGTCACGCACGATACAGTTTCTCTTCAGTCAATTTTTGCTGCATAAAGTCAATAAACTATGCTGAAATTCATCATCCATCAGCCACTTCTAGAGGTGACCCTTCTAACACGTTATATTTAATTCCTAAATTTATAATAAATGTTCTGCGCAACTCTTCAAAAGATAATGCAACGTTCCCTCACTTTTGTTAGCGGGGTAATCTTTTCCAGAATGTGAGAAATCAGAGGTATGATAATCCACAATATCGAAGCAAATTTGAGCAAACTTGTGTCTTCACATCGTGATCCTTTGCGCACACGGTCTCATATTGACCAGATATGTCTGATTATGTGGAAGATTGTCCCAGTTTATGCGTAGAATACATGAGAGAAAGCAAGTGAACGGCCTTATGACCTTCACCACCTCTGATCGAATCACGTGCCTGTTCTAGAAGTACAAGTTCAATAATTTGATACCACCACGCTTGTAGCCGATATTTGAAATGTATTAACCAAATACGATCTTTTTTCTAGACAACAATAGCCATCAATACACATACCTCTACGGAAGCCGTCGATTCTCTCACGACAAACTCTGTTGACATGTACGATATTGACTGAGCTCATAGAACCTAATGTGTATAAGCAAATATATTTTCAGTGCGGGTTCCTTTTGTAGATTTGAATATTAGGTCCCCAATTAAGTTTTCGAACTTTCAATGATTCAAAAATTTATTTTTTTCCCGAGTAATCGAAAGTATCAAATAACATTGATCTGAGTATTCTCCGTCTTCTTGGATGCAATTCTTCCAGCGCTCCGGCAAAAAATCAGTTCCGCTCTCATAAAACTCATTATTCTTCGATGCATACCAACGAGTCAATTCTCGACGCAAATGATTGAGAAACCTCTTCTTGTCCAATCAGTACTACAATAGTCTAAAGAGATGGAAATCGGACGGAGACAGATCTGGCGAATACGGCAGATGGCCCAAGTGCTTCCGGCCGTCAGTCAACTTCTTCCTTGTTTTCTTGGCAACGTGTGGCTTTTCTTTGTCTCAAAGCAAAATGATTTGGCGACGGCGGTGACGTGGAATTGCTTGATTGCAACGGTCCAGTTTCTAACAATATCACCCAGCATTGATGGTCTGACCGGTTTGCAGCAAGTCCCAATGAATCGGCCCACTTCGCTCACAGAAAATGATCAACATTGCTTTTGGCGAGAATCGATTTTGTCTGGTGTTTGTTCTTTGCTGACCTGGTGACACGCACTGATTTGGATAACGCTGGCTCTTGAAGAACATCCGCTTCTCATCTATGGTGACAATTTGTTCGAAAACAAAAGCGGCGATGACAACGAAGATGAGCTCGCGCAATTTTTGAGTTTTTGGATCAAGTTCGAGAACCTAGTAGGAGACCTGTCACAATGAGATTGTCACGCGATTTCCATCCGAAAACAGAGGCGTATGAAACTCTCTACCAATCAACAGTTATCAGGTTCCATTGATGCTCTTCTCGCCACTATGTTTCTTTTATAAGTAGAGAAAAGTATCCATAAGTATATCGCAAAAACACTTTGATTTTTGCGCATCCGAGATGTTTATCTGATCGAGATCGCCTGAGCACGATAATATTCAAGGTCATGTTACACCGTGTTCATTTGTCCACTCATTGCTGACCTCAGCTATATTATCATCAGCATGTGCAATGCGATCTAT